ATGCTCCACTTAATATAAATATACCTGATGTTAGGTCCACTTAAGATATCCCATGTGTAAAGGCAGCCTAAATAAGCAGCATAGTACAAAGGGGACACCAACAGGGCCAAACACGGGACCAAAGATGGGTGCAAATAAAACATTACAATTTTCCTGTTTTATTGTAAGATATGATACACTTTGCACCTAGGGAAACAATACAGTACAAAGGCCCACAGAATATATGATGTTCTAAAGGCCACGGAAATATCATGTGTTCTGATCATTTCTCTAGCCACAAACCAGACCGCAAAGCAAAATAACCTGCAATTTTATGAGCTGCCTAGGGGGGAGGATTGGAAGATATTTTATGTTTGGTGGGTCCCAACAGAATGGGTAATCGTGCTGAAAACACTTTAGGAGACGTCTTGCGGTTTTCTCAAGCCTCAGGAACGGTATTTACAGTCGAACGCCCCGGCTGATTTATGTGCTTACAGGCACAATCATCGACTTGTGAAGCAAACACAGCATGAAAAGTGAGATCTCCCCAATGACAACATTCTGTAGAGTAGGAAGAAATTCCAATAACTGCGTATTGACCTGCTCTGACAGCACTTGCGGCCCCTTGCCAGCCTCTATAATGAATAGCTAGACAAAGATAAATGTACATGGCCTTATTTAAAGTTACATGCCAGTCAAAAATTGAAACTGAAGCCATCAGATATATACAGGGAGCACAGGAAATCTGCTAAGTATTTGGTTTTAAATCCAGGTAGGCCTTGCTGCAGTGCACCTGTCCATACCCTTCCCTTTCACCAGTAGTCTGAGAACCCCTACTTGTAATGCAGGAGAGGGACTCATAGACACATCCACTGCAGCCGTCTTGCTCTCCTACATACAGGAATGTCTTTTGCAAGCATCTTTGGTGGTTAAAATAGAGTTGCACAATTTTCTAGTGGTGTGGTTTTCCCTGGGAAAAGGGTCCAGGCTCCTCACCTTGTTAAAAAAGAACTTCCAGAGAAAATCTGAAATTATTCTGAAAAAAGCTGAAAATAATGTATTCTCCTGGTGATGGTAAAGCCCATTGAATATATACTATATATGTATTGTGAGGCATTGGTTGGCAGGAATGTGGAAGGTGCATTTGTGTCACCAAGGTTTCTCACCTACACTTGTTGATGGGTTCCACGGTATCTGCTTGATATGGAGAAAACAAACTATTTGTTTTCTCAGAATCTTAATATGTTTTTTTCTGGATCCTGGAGACCAGGTTCTTTGTAGAGCTTTGGGTGGGAATAAGCACCCATTCCTAGGTTCACATCTTACTTGGTAGACAAACTTCAACTTGAATCCCAGCTGTGCACAGAATTTTATATGTTAACTGACTAATGCTCTGGGCTCGCTATATTGCTCTCTCCACTGTGGAAGCCTGCTGCTTGGTTAAAAGGATGACAGAACACTAAAAATATAAAGTGTCCTGTATTCACATCATTGTGCTGAGTAGGGAGCCATGTATTGAGCATTCACTGCAATTGTAGTCTATTCTGAAACAGGAAACAGAAAGTTTTACTTACACATCAGTCCAGTTCCAGTTTACCTTCCAAAAGGACACACCAGTGAAGGTTTCCTTTTCCCTTTAATACACATATGCCTGTAAGTTCTTTCATTGTGTTTGTCATATATATATATATATATATATATATATCTATCTAGATCGCATTTCAATATGTTTAAAGCGGAGCTCCACCCAAAGGGGAAAGTTCCACTTTAAGTATTGGTTCCCGCTCCCTGTGAGGAATTGGCACCTTTGCAGAGCCCTGGGGGGGCGTTGGAGGCCGATACCCGTTCTCACTTCCACTGTGATCGCCTAGGTGGTCAAAAGCAGAAGTTGTCCTCCTCTCTCCCTCCCTCCCCGTAGTCTTCTAGGACACGTTACAAGTCCATTCACAAGGCACAGTACTACTCACGCATGCGCAGTGGGCACCATGCTATGAAGCTGTCACAGTATACTGAGTGAGTATACTGGATCGAGGGACAAGTGAGTGTCTGTTTTTTAAGAATTAGCAGCTACAGTTTTTGTAGCTGCTGACTCTGCTTTAATGTGATTTGTATGTAGCTGTTTGTAAGAAATGTGTTCACTGTATGCATTTGTAAGAGATATGTATACCAGCATATTGTAACTTCAGTTTATGTGATTGTATTGCAGTTTTGCAGAACTTTTCACAGAAGTAAATTCAGTTTTGGAATGAAACACAACGTTGCTTCTGTCAACTTTCTTACCTAGCGGTTGGCTAACCGTTAGTAGGACAGCATAGAGATGTCTGTTTGTTTTGTGAAACCCTTTAGGGGGCACCTGGTTAGTCACAAATGGACATAAATTTGGTTAGTAGCTTGGAAAAGCAAATGTTTAGTTTGTATCGTGATATGGACTTGCTGTACAAAGCCCTCCTGCATTGAAGCTGTGTTTGTTTGCTGTTGCTATGAATAAAAGTGCAGGACAAATCTGCTTCAACTATTCCTGAGTGTCCCCATCTTATGCATGGTTTACCACTGCCAAAACCAGTTAAGCCCATCCCCCGTGCAACTTAATGGAGGATGTGGGAAATACCTTACAGTAACAGACACCTATTGTTGAATAAAATGGAGGCACTTGAAAAACAGCTTTTGTTGGAAAATACTAAACAGCACTAATCAGCCACTGCAAGAGGGGAACTGCTTAACCACTTGATGTAACAATTGACTAAAGCCAACCAAGCCTCCTTCCAATGAAAACAAGTGAATCTGTAATTCGCAAAAGAAGTGGTGGCATGGGGGGGGGGGGGGGGGGGGGGGGGGGTTGCATTTCAAGAGCAACTACAAAAATTGTCTCTGGAGTTTGATGTTGAAGTCTATCTCAGCATCTCTGAGAGAGACATAAAATATGAGAAGCAAGTCAAGAAGAACTTATAAGTAAAAAAATAAACCAATAGGGGTTAGAACCTTCCTTTTACTCTATCCAAAATGAGAAAAAAAAAAAATTTGCCTGTAGTTCTGCTTTTAGCACTGGCAGTTTCAAGGACTGGGGCATGTGGCTGCCAATTGCCCCATATTACATGAGGCTATGTAGAAGTACACCAAGGAACATGCCAGTCTGGTGGACCCTGCCAAGCTTAGTTTAAAGAGAAGTATGACTTTCTGTAAACAAAAAAAATATATTTATACTTACCTAGATGGATGCAGCATTGATTCGATTCACCTGTCCCTGCCAGGTCTGCACTGAGAATTGAGTGATCAACACTATGATTGCTCAGTTCCTTCTCCCCTCCAATCTGAGCAGGGAGCCATAACTGTCAGTCTCCAGCTGTCTGCTCTGCCCATCCAGTACTCTTTGGAGCGCGGGGCTGTGGAGAGGGTGGGAGTGGCTGACTCAGGCTCTCATCAGCTCACAGAGAGGCTGAGCCAGGTGCTGATAAGGCTTCTGGGTGGATCCTGACCATGGGTGGAGGCTGCCGACAGCTCAAAACGGGTCACAGGAGTGCAGCAACTAACTGCACTCCTGTGATCGATAGGAGAAGTATAGCCAAAAACGCTTAAGCTATACTCCTCTTTTAAGACCACATGGGTGTACTTTGTATACATGGCAATGCTAAAAACTACCCTACTGCAGTACTCTCAGTGCACATACCTAGTGGAACCTAGTGTATGGGTTCATTCACATGGCTGTTCTTGACTTCACATCGCACAGATCAGCATATTTCTGTGGTGGCTAAAGCCAGGTGTTTATTTTATAAATTGTATTTACATATATAATACACATACCCACCGGCCACTTTATTAGGTACACCTGTTCAATTACTTGGTAACACAAGTTGCTAATGAGCCAATCACATGGCAGCAACTCAATGCATTTAGGCATCTAGACGAGATGGAGACGACTTGCTGAAGATCAAACCGAGCATCATAATGGGGAAGAAAGGGGATTTAATAAGTGACTTTGAATGTGGCATGGTTGTTGGTGCCAGACGGGCTGGTCTGAGTATTTCAAAAACTGCTGATCTACTGGGATTTTCATGCACAACCATCTCTAGGGAAATCAAAACTCACCAGAACAGGCTGCATTTTTCCAGTCTTCTATTGTCCAATTTTGGTGAGCCTGTGCAAATTGTAGCCTCCATTTCATGTTCTTAGCTGACAGGAAGGAATGGCACCCAGTGTGGCCTTATGCTGCTGTAGCCCACTTCTTCAAGGTTCAGAGATGCTATTCTGCATACCTTGGTTGTAACGAGTGGTTATTTGAGTTACTTTTGCCTTTCTATCATCTTGAACCAGTCTGCCCATTCTCCTCTGACTTCTGACATCAACAAGGCATTTTCGTCAACAAAACTGCTACTCACTGGATATTTTCTCTTTTTCAGACCATTCTCTTTAAACCCTAGAGATGGTTATGCGTGAAAATCCCAGTAGATCAGCAGTTTTGGAAATATTGGCCTATGAGTATATAAAAACTATACTGCCAAAAGTATTAGGACGCCTGCCTTTACACGCACATGAACTTTAATGGCATCCCAGTCTTAGTCCGTAGGGTTCAGTATTGAGTTGGCCCGCACTTTGCAGCTATAACAGCTTCAACTCTTCTGGGAAGGCTGTCCACAAGGTGTAGGAGTGTGTCTATGGGAATGTTGGACCATTCTTCCAGAAGTGCATTTGGTCAGGCACTGATGTCAGACGAGAAGGCCTGGCTTGCAGTTTGTGCTCTAATTCATCCCAAAAGTGCTCTACCAGGTTTAGGTCAGGACTCTGTACAGGCCAGTCAAGTTCCTCCACAAACTCATCCATGACTTTATGGACTTTGCTTTGTGCACTGGTGAGAATTCATGTTAGAACAGAAAAGGGCCATCCCCAAACTATTCCCACAAAGTTGGGAGCATGAATATGTCTAAAATGTCTCAGTATAATGACGCCTTAAAAGTTTCCTTCACTGGAACTAAGGGGCCAAGCCCAACCCATGAAAAACAAACCCACACCACATTCCCCCCTCCACCAAACTTTACACTTGGCACAATGCAGTCAGGCAAGTACTGTTCTCCTGGCAACTGCCAAACCCAGACACATCTAGATTGTCAGACAGAGAAGTGTTACTCATCAATCCAGAGAACACGTCTCCGCTGCACTAGAGTCCAGTGGCGGCGTGCTTTACACCACTCCATCTGACGCTTTGCCATGCACTTGGGTGATGTAAGGCTTGGGTTCAGCTGTTTGGCCATGGAAACCAATTCCATGAAGCTCTCTACGCACTGGTGTTGTGCTAATGTGAAGGCCACTTGAAGATTGAAGGTCTTTAGCTATTGACTCTGCAGACAGTTGGCAACTTCTGTACACTGTGCGATTCAGCATGCGCTGACCCCGCTCTGTCATTTTACGTGGCCTACCACTTCGTGGCTGAGTTGCTGTTGTTCCCAGTTGCTTCCACTTTGTTATAACACCACTAACAGTTGATATTTAGTAGCAAGGAAATTTCACGGATGGACTTATTGCACAGGTGGCAACCTATCACGGTACCACGCTTCAATTCACTGAGCTCCTGAGAGCGACTCATTCTTTCACAAATGTTTGCAGAAGCAGTCTACATGCCTAGGTGCTCGATTTTATACACCTTTGGAGTGGTGTCCCAATACTTTTGGCAATATGGTGTGTATATACATATAAAAATATATATACTGGTCCCATTTTGTTTCCTCCCTTACGTAGGTGTGGAGAGTGTCCAATTTAAGAAATGTTGCCCATGGAGAAACAGATAAAAAAAAGATAGGACGATTCCACTACAGACAGAAAGCTTGTACAAATCAAGGCCAGGATGACATAGTTTGTTGCTGTTCGCATGTATTCACACAAGCAGTAATTACCTACAACTAGGGAAAGATAAGCAGCCCTGTATGCAGATTGTTTGTGCCCAGGACCGCTCATCTATCCCTAACCACATGTAATCTCTCCATGTGCGATTACATGGGGACAGCTGTGGAGCCTTTCAGTGATTTGTACAGGCTGAGCAGCCATAGCTAACTGGAAACACCTTGCCATACTTGCAGCAGTAATACTCTGATCTGGATGGTGTACAGCCAGGAACAGATCTTGCATGTTTTGGCCATGGTTAAGAGCTTGCTACACAGTGTAATATTGGACTGTGATTTTCCACTATTGTGGAAACCATGTGGGAGGAAACAGGTAAACAGTTCTGAAAATGTGTCAGAATGAATGATGTCACTATTTTGCCTGAACCTGAAGGAGATGATGACAACTCTACATCAGAGGTACCATACCACTTCCCAGTAGCATCATGGTTGGGAAGTTAGAAAAAATGGCCTAAGTGCAAAAAAGAACAGATATACCAGAGGCCAGGGAAGATTTTGGGACTGCAAAGTTCTGGGATCTTGATTTGGCAAAAGCTTGGAAAAATGTAAAGGTGATAACTGGAGTACCCCAAGAACCAGAAGTTAGCCTGGTTCTTGGGGTACCCTAGTTATCACCTTTGCATTTTTGCTGTATACTATGACTTACTGTATCATGTAAGGGAGGAAGGGGAACAAGTTGTGGAACATTTGGTGATTCCTCAGTTTCACACAAGGATGGTTTTGGATCTGGCCCATTCCCATATATTTGGTGGTCATTTAAGGGTAGAAAAAAAAAAACAAAAGAGTTGACTGAGCAGTGATTTTTCTGTCCCAAATCTTGCTCTGAGTGTCAACTTAGTGCGCTCCAACTCTAGTTTGTAAATGTGCTGACCCCCTGCCTACAATCGAGATCTTTTTTGAGAGGATTTGCTATGACTCTGATCAGGCCAGTACTTAAAGTGGTTGTAGACCTCTGGCATGAAATATGAACAAAGCACATCCTTCTATAATGAATACTTTTTTCTATCCAACTAACAATGAGTGTAATTTCTCTGCTGCCTTCTTCCTCTATCAGCTATCAGCATAAGTTACTGCTGGTTTTTCTGACACAAGAGATAAAAAAGTGATGAAGGAGGAGAGCTTCAGTACAGCCTGGGACTGATATCCTTAGCTTTGCATATTCTCCATGTACTGTGAGGAAGGGTGTGTGTGCCTTCCCTGCAACCAGGGCTCAGAGCTCTTCTCACTGAGATCTGCAGAGTGTAACTTCAGCAACCCATCCCGTTGTTCAGAGCTGAGCGGTAGATCCATATTGTACTCTGAATGGGTGCGGAGGAGAGATTGCTATAGATCAGTGGTTCTCAACCTGTGGGTCGCGACCCCTTTGGGGGTCGAATGACCCTTTCACAGGGGTCCCCTAAGACCATCAGAAAACACATATTTCCGATGTGTAAGAGCAGCTACTGTGTAGAAAGCAGCTACTGTGTAGAAAGCAGCTGCTGTGTTGAAAGCAAAATTTGTGTACAAAACTTTTCTTTAACAAAAACACCAAAAACACATCAAGTGTCCAAAACAAATCCCCACTTGTGTAGACTAAATGTTCAACCAAGTCTCTTTAATTTCTTCTTTCAACGAAAAATCTTTTCTCAGCACCCGCAGGTTCTGATGACAATATCCCTCAAAAGAAAAAAACTTAACATAGTGTCATACCTTTTTAAAAAATTCATATACACACGTGCCCCTTCCAGTGCAACATGCAATATTAGTGAACAAACAGAAGAAAAAAGAAAAAAAAAAAAAATTATATTTATATTCCCTTACTCAGTGAAACACTCACAAAAACGTGTACGATCTAAACTCTGTGTTTAAACAACTCAAAAAATATCACTGCAGATCGTACAAGTTTTTGTGAGTGTTTCACTGAATAAGGGGATATAAATATAATTTTTTTTTTTTTTTCTTTTTTCTTCTGTTTGTTCACTAATATTGCATGTTGCACTGGAAGGGGCACGTGTGTATATGAATTTTTTAAAAAGGTATGACACTATGTTAAGTTTTTTTCTTTTGAGGGATATTGTCATCAGAACCTGCGGGTGCTGAGAAAAGATTTTTCGTTGAAAGAAGAAATTAAAGAGACTTGGTTGAACATTTAGTCTACACAAGTGGGGATTTGTTTTGGACACTTGATGTGTTTTTGTTAAAGAAAAGTTTTGTACACAAATTTTGATTAACCTTCAAGGGTGGAGGTGGATTACTTTTCAGGGAATTGTGTGTGCTGTGTATTTGAAAATATGTGTTGAAAGCAGCTACTCTGTTAAAAGCAGCTATTGTGTTGAAAGCAGCAGTATTGGAGGTAAAACGACACTCGTGAATTATAATTACTGGGTAAATAATTTTATGGTTGGGGGTCACCACAACATGAGGAACTGTATTAAAGGGTCACGGCATTAGGAAGGTTGAGAACCACTGCTATAGATAAACAGGTACAACTTGTATAGCAGGATTTGTTTCATTTCTGTGTATTACTTAGGGCCAGTCGTTTTCCTGACTGTATGTGAGGATTTTCAGCCACTTTAAATCTGCCAGAGGGCACAGTACATATTATTAGTCCTTACTATGTCAGCTTGTAACAAGAAGCAATTCCTTTCAGAAACACATCCCCTACAGTTATAGCAAAAGAGCTGCTCTGTATATTTTCCTGTACCACTATTTCTAAGGAAATATTGACAGACCAAGGAACCCCCTTTTATGTTTTTATGTCAAAGGCCACAAAAGGACTGTGTCGGTTGCTGAAAACTACTCACGTATGCACCTCATTGTATTACCCGCAAGCTGATGGGGGCAGGTAAAAAGGTTTAAAAGAACTCTGAAAGGTATCATAAAAAGTGGTTAATATGGATGAAAAAGATTGTGACTTGCAATATTCTGTTAGGTTTATCTAATAATTTTATATGTATAACATTACCCACTAGTGTATTTTTTATGTACAAGGAGCTTTTCAAGTCAAAGCGGGACTTTTAATTTTACAGATATAAAAAGGGATGTTAGCGTGGCGTACTACATGCAGTAGTAAGTGGCAAGTGTGTCCTATTACTGATAGGCAGCGCACATGTCGCGGGCCAGTCCAGAAACCGTTAACCAAGATGGCAGACAACAGTGTTAGTGCATGCATGGAACAGACCATGGTGATGAAGTTTCTTGTGAACAATGAAATAAAACCTGCAGATACTTATTATTTATTTCAGGTACTTATATAGTGCCGTCAATTTATGCAGCGCTTTACATATATATTGTACATTCACATCAGTCCCTAACCCTCAAGGGGCATACAATCTAAGGTCCCTAACTTACATTCATACATACACATACTATGGACAATTTAGACAGGATCCAATTAACCTACCTGCATGTCTTTGGTGTGTGGGAGGAAACCGGAGTACCTGGAGGAAACCCACGCAGGCACAGGGAAAACATGCAAACTCTAGGCAGGTGGTGCCGTGGTTGGGATTTGAAACAACGACCCCAATACTGCCAGGAGGAAGTGCTAACCACTAAGCCACTGTGCCGCCCCATATCTACAGAAGACTTCAAGAACAGTACGGTGATGAGACGCTCAGCTGCAGTAAGACATTTGGATGGTGTAAACGTTTCCAAGATGACCGTACATCTATCAATGATGATCCCGGCCGTGGTGGTTCCCAACCCACAACAGTCATTTCTCTGAACATTCAGTGAATGGAACACCTGATCCTGGATAATCAACGCATAACCTGTCCTGAAATTGCACAAGAGACAAATCTTTCTGTGGGAACAGTGAACACAATGATGACGGAGTGAAGCAAGCTGTCCTAGGATGGTTCAGGCGTACTGACAAATCTTTCTATGCTGAAGCTTTCCAGGCATTAGTTAAATGCTGGGATAATTGTATAAATGTAGCAGGGGTGTATGTTGAAAAATAAATGCAGTTTCCATTTCTTGTAATTTGTTCTTTTGTTATATAAACTCAAAAGTCCCAATTTGACGTGAACGCCCCTCGTAGCTTACTAACAACTGTTATGTTTAGCTTATGTTCTTTACTGATCAATGTTTTGTTAAAGTGTCATTAAACCTGCATCATTGAAAACTATCAGTAAATTATGTATTACATGCTGTTCACACTCCGTTACTATGGAATTTGCTTTCTGTATTCTGCAAAAAACCTGATCCTGCTGCTCTCTGTTCCTCCCAACTGTCCATGTCCCCAGGGCGGCTGAAGATTCTGCAGAGCTGCTGATGATAACTACTGCACATGCTCAGTTTTTAGTGTTTTTCTATCCTGAGCATTTTTTTCCTTTTACATCTGAGCAGCCCATCTGACTATAAAGTCACACGTAGGCGTATACACAGTGGTAAGTAACATCCCACTCCCTCCAACTTCACTAAACCGCTAAACACAAGGGAGGGTAGGATATTACATCTTGACTGATGGAGACTTCACCTCTCTGTTATTCTAAGCCCATAGGCACATACACATAGGCTGGATGGATGTGACACAGCCTGTAACTGGCAGAAATCTTACCCCACACCATGTTATTGCTAAAAAATAATAAAGATTTGATTTCAAATATATATTTGTATGACAATTTAAAACAGTTTATTGATATAAATTATTTGTTTTAACTCTGTATTCCTATGTTTTTTTGAACATGTACCAGCAGCAGAGGACTACAAGCTCCTCCTGCCACTGTTTCCCTGCAGTCAGGCTGGGAAAGAGCTGGGTCATGTGACAGCT